GCAACAACCTGGATGGAACTAGAGTCTATAATACTGAGTGACCTCTCACAGAAACAAAAATCTGAGTATCACATGTTCTCACTCATATAGTGGATCTTCATCATCCAATGCACTACCATAAGAAAATGACTGACAGTGGTGGGAAACTATGGGGGGGAAGGGGGATGGGACTAATGGTCGTAAACATCTATCTGGGGACGGGGAGACACCTGTTGTCAACAAGGGGGCCTGAATGAAGCATATTTGTATACCTAACCCCACAATATTATAATAAAAAATATTGATTTAAAAAATAAAAAGTTTACCTCTTTTAAAGGGGAAATCGGGCTGGGCACGGAGGCTCAAGCCTGTAATCCCAGCATGTTGGGAGGCCAAGGTGAGAGGATTGCCTGAACTCAGGGGTTCGAGACCAGCCTGGGCAACTCGTTGAGACTTTGTCTCTACAATAAATCAAAAAATAAGCCAGGCATGGTAGTGTACACCTGTAGTTCCAACTACCTGGAAAGGCTGAGGCTGAAGGATCGCCTGAACCCAGCAGGTCGAGGCTGTGGTGGCCGTGAGCGTGCCACTGCACTCCAGCCTGAATCACAGAGTGAGACTCTAATGCAAAAAAAAAAAAAAATCGGAAATAAGTATAGCAAAATGTTGAAACTGGATAGTGCATAGTGTGTATGCGCTGCAATTATATTAGTTCCTGTCCTTTTCTATGTGATGGATATATTTCATAATTTAACATTTTATAGAGAGTGATTGCCTCATATTATATGTCCAGGAAATGTTAGTCTCCCTTCTCCCTACACCAACATGTTAGTTATCATGTATTTGATTATACATTTGTCCAGAGATTAAATAAACCCATAAGGTTTTATTTCTTAACATAGAAGAACTTCAGCCGTAGGCAGTACAGGGGTGGTAAGACACCTCCATGACATCATCTGGGACCTTGGCATTTTCTGTCTTTCTGCCCTGATGAACTGGTTTCCCTTCTCAATGTCCCCCATGTTCCAAGGTGACTATTGGAACTCCTTTGCTCCTTAATTCTAGAAATAGGAAGGAGAAAGGGTAGAAGAAGGGCTTATCACCTAGCCTTTTAAGGAACTGCCCACAGGTTTCACATAACACTTCCCATTACATTTTATTGCCCAGAATCTACTCACTTGGCTGTAACTTGCTAAAAGGGAGGCTGGAAAATGCAGTCTTTTAGCTGGGTACCTTGTTCAAGATTTGTAACTAAGGAAGAAGAAGACATTTGATATTGAGCAGCAACTAAGAGTCTGTCAAAAACAGGAATCTAAAAGTTATTGGTGTCTAAATGGTAGTATTATTTCATTTTAACTGAGATTTAGAGATTTGAACGCATGTAAATTCTTTTATAAACTTGGTATAGACTAAATATTTTTAAATATTTTTAAGTGCTGCCCTCAAATTCAGTGAAGTAGAAACTTTGAGTGATTCTGTTATTGAGCAAAGTCATATTTTATTTTTTTTAGAGTGAAAAACATGCTCAAAATGTTAGTGTTTATTTTCAAATGCAAGGAGAACAAAATGAAGTGCCTGGTAAGAGAATGAAGATACATGTTGGGAGTTTGCAGGTGAGCCATCTTTGTCGATGTCATAATTCTAAACTTTGAGTTATTGAATCTTTCTAATAAGGGTGTGCTTTTTCCAGGTGCGTAAGAATGAAGTAGTGGATCGAAACAAATTTTGTGATCTTTGCAAGATGATTTTTAACTCCCCAATCGTTGCTCAGTCTCACTATGAGGGGAAAGTTCACGCTAAAAACCTGAAACAAGTAATGGAGGAACATGACCAGGTATCCCCATCAGGATTTCAGCTAGAAATGGGTAAGGTTGCATTCACCTCTTTATCTTCAATTCAGGATTATCTATTTTTTTAAACTCTGCCATATTTTTTTAATTGGGGAGACTTTCATTTAGGTTGAAATAAATTGATTATTCTTCTTCTACCCAGTTAATCTCTTTCTCTCTCTTTGTCATTTAATATAGAGATTATAATTGCTAACTGAATTTTAAGATATGTTATAACCTCTTTATTTCAGTTTATTAAATTCAAATACTAACAAGTGATTTGTGCTACAGCTATAAAGAAACAACAGTAAACTGCTGGAACTCTGTTACTTTCTAATCAAATCATAAGATCTTTGCTTTTTTCTTTCCTTTTCTCTTTGGCATCTTTTTTGTTTTATTTTGTTTTAGTGCTTTCCAAAATATCATTTCATATGTGTGTTGAAATCAATGCCATTACCATAATATAGTTAGGGATGCAGTGTTTGCTATTAACTGTAGAAAAAAAAGTTACTAAATCTTTTACCCTGACAGTCTATTTTTTTCTCCCTATGAATATAAAGAAAAGCTGGGCGCGGTCGGTGGCTCACACCTGCAATCCCAGCACTTTGGGAGATGAGGCGAGAGGATTGCTTGAGCTCAGGGTTTTGAGACCAGCCTGGGCAACTTGTCAAGACCTCGTCTCTACAATAAATAAAAAAATTAGCTGGGCATGGTGGTGCGTGCCTATAGTTCCAGCTACTTGGAAGGCTGAGGTGGAAGGATCGCCTGAGTCCAGCAGGTTGAGGCTGCGGTGGCCGTGACCATGCCACTGCACTCCAGCCTGGGTCACAGAGTAAAGCTCCAACTCACACACACAAAAAGAATATAAAGAAAAAGTACCACCATCATCATCAATTAGTAATTACTGAGTACTTATTTTTTGATCTGGAAAATCACATTTATTATGTTTTTATTAATTCCTTTTATTTCAATAGCTTTAGGAGTACAAGTGGTTTTTGGTTACCTTGGAAGTATTGTACAGTGGTAAAGAAGTCTATGCTTTAAGTATACCCGTCACTTCCACTAATGCACACTGTACCCAGTAGGTGATACTTCATTTCTCACCACCATATGCCCTCCCCCTTTTGAGTACTTATTTAATGTTAAATTCTAAAAATACAGAGAGTTATAGAATGCTGCCTCTTTCCTCCTTCCAGTGATTTTGAGCCACCAGCATATATGATAGATCTGACTCAAAGTTGCTTGGGATGGCAGAGTACACCCTAGAAAATCAACCATATTTTTAAAAGCTTATGTGCTAAAATACAAAAAAAAGGATGGTTAATTTTCTGATCAAATAATTTACTACATTCTTTGTAGCTTTGATACTTTAGAACTAAGGCATGCCTGGCATGGAAAATTTGCCAACATTAATTTCTAGCTCATAGTGTAGGCCATTATGAACAAGAAACATTATTAAAACTTATTTTTTCCTTAATAAATGAGTTTTTAAATTTTTTGTATTTTTTTCTGTCTGTTGTTGTAAAGAGGAACGGAATCAGCGTACTCCACAAGGGAAAGCATCTTTCAGTCCCTAAAGTTCATCATTTTAGGCTCAGAGAGGTGAATATATGAAAGGGCTATGAAATAACTGGAATTGAAGGAACATGTATAGTTTTATTGTCTCAAACAACTGCATAGATTTTATTCTGATGCAGATGTCACAAATCTAGAATAAATGCATGCTTTACTCTGTTACTCAAGAAAGATCTCAACTTAGAAGTTGGTACCATCTCTTTTAGCCTCAATAAGTTCAAAGAATCATCCTAAGATGGCTCTTATATGTTCATTGATTTTTGTAAATTAATAGAATTAAGCAATGCCTGATGTAGAACATATATTCTTTCCCATGTCTTTATTAAAGAAACTTGGTAGCCTAGGCAACATAGTGAGATCTTGTCTCTTAAAAAAAAATAGCCAGATGTGGTGACGGGTGCCTGTAGTCCCAGCTGTTTTGGTGGCTGAGGCAGAAGCTTGCCCGAGATCAGGAGATCTGCGCTGGAATAAGCCATGATCTTGCCACTGCACTCCTGCCTGGGCAACAGAGTGGGAAGGAAG